AAAAAAAAAAAAAAAAATACAGATATGAATGTTACCTTTAAAAGTTTATGTATTTTCAGAACAAGGGGACCAAACACCAATGAAAACAAATGGCACAGGTGATCCAACATCTCAGAATGCCTCTGTTACAGTTTGTGAGTTCTGCATCCAGAACATCTTCAAGACTTCTGGCTGAGATGATCCAGCCTCACAGACCACTCCAGCCAAGACTTAATCATTATCCTGATTTTTTTTCAGGGTCCCCCAAAGATTCTAGTGCCCCTAGACAACAGGAAGCAGTCTAGAAAAAAAAAATACTTATATTCCCAAAAGGTTGGTTATGGATGTTTGCCATAATTTAAAGAGATGTTGGTTACAAGCTGTTATTGGTCATAGTCAGGAAAAAAGGTAACTAAAGAGTTAAAGTCAAAGATCTCTTTCTAAAGGAAAAAAGGGGGATAAGATATAAAAATGAGATAAAAGGGTAAATTATTGAATCTACTTTAATCTAAAAATAGTTATTAACCTCAAAATATTTTTTTTTAAGTTAAACCATTTTATTTGAGAAAAGTGGACACCCGAACCCTGCTGTTGTCGTGGACGAAGCAGCGGCGTCTCCAGATCCGTGGGACCTGGGCCAGGGAGCAGCACGGCGCACTCAGGATCACTAGGAGCTCAAAATGTTTTACATTGGCATGGATTTTGGTTTATCGATACAATTTAAAGTTAATCTTGTTATACTATATGTATGTTTCTACTCTTGTTTGTGCTTAAGCAGCTTATTTAAAAATGTAATGTATAGGGCTGGAGAGATGGCTCAGAGGTTAAGAGCACTGGCTGCTCTTCTAGAGGTCCTGAGTTCAATTCCCAGCAACCACGTGGTGGCTCACAACCATCTGTAATGAGATCTGGTGCTCTCTTCTGACCTGCAGTCATACATGCAAACAGAACATTGTATATATAATAAATAAAAAAATCTTTAAAAAAATGTAATGTATAATTAAGAGAATTACAGGTTAACAGTCATCTATAATAGTCAAACTTATAGTCATATTAGGTTTGTTTTCAAGATTAAATAGATATAGTTACACAAATAGATGGTCTTCAAACACCTACAGAATATGGTATTTAATATGTTTAATAACCTAAGGTTTTTCATGACAGTGAGACACGTCTGCTCCTGACAGCACCAATTTATTTCAAAAGAAGATGACTGGCATTGAAGTACCTCTACATGGAGTTTGCCTTCCTTATGGCAAAAGATAGCCATTTGGGTAAGAAACTGCCCTTGCCTCAATTGCTGATAGTTACTGTTCAAACTGGACCAGCAGGATGCAAAAGAAAGTGACTGCCAAACTTTGCCAAGGCAAGGCAGGACAGTCCTTCAAAATTCCCTGCTTCTCAAAAATGTCTGTCAGATATACTAGGCCTATAGGCCACAGGTGGATGCCCCAATGTTACAGAAGAACTTGGGGTGACTGTCCAGGCAGCCAGATGTTCCTATTGTTAGGTAACATTGTACCCTTCTGGGGTCTTTGATGGAGTTAAAGACTAAATAATTAGACTTAAAGTTTTCATTAGTTATTATAAAAGGTAAATTAGGTATAAAACCTTAGACTCACAAAGATAGATAATAAAATATTTTCTTTAAATTTGCCAAATACAAATGGACTGGATATTGTAACTGTAATTCTTACTTAATAACTGTTTTATTGTATATAATTTTTTTTCTTTTTTCTTTTGGTTTTTCGAGACAGGGTTTCTCTGTGTAGCTTTGCGCCTTTCCTGAAACTCACTTGGTGGCCCAGGCTGGCCTTGAACTCACAGAAATCCACCTGCCTCTGCCTCCCGAGTGCTGGGATTAAAGGCGTGCACCACCACCACCTGGCTTGTATATAATTTTACAATGTTAAAGTTTAAACTTTCCTTTTTTAGACAAAAAGAGAGAAATGCTGTGGAATAATCTTTCTGTACACCAAGAAAATGTGTTGCTCTCATTGTTAATAAAAAGATGATTGGTCAGTAGTTAGGCAGGATTTTCAGGACAGAGAGAATGCTGGGAAGAAGGAAGGAATCTTGAGAGTAACAAGGAAAGTCAAAGAGAAAGAGGATGAATGTGCTGAGTTGAAAGAAGGTACCATCATGTGGCAGAGGGTAGATAAGAAATATGGGTTAATTCAAAAAGGAAAGAGTTAGCTAGTAACAAGCCCGAGCTATTGGCTGAGCATTTATAATTATGAAGTTTCTGTGCATTTATTTTGGAGCCAGAAGTCTCAGCAAAAACTCCATCTACACCAGCAAGATTGCTCAGTGGGTAAAGGCACTTGCCACCAAGTCAAACAACCTGAATTTGATCCCTGGGACCCACATGGTGGAAGGAGAGAAACAATTCCTTCAAGCTACCCTCCGACCTCCACACATGCTCTATGGCATGTGTCTCTGTTCCCAATAAGACCCCCATCTCAGTGTCCTCCACAGTCAAGTACAATGAGCCCCTTACTTACGCCTTCTACTTCCTTTAACACTTTGTGCTTAACAGTGATGTCCTCAAAGACAGCTTCAATCACCATGTCAGCCTTCTCAAAACCATTGTAATCGAGCTGCCCAATCAAGTTGCTGAAGATGGAATCCCTTTCGAATGATGTTAGAGCTTTCTTCTTCACTTTGTCATTCAATCTAGAAAGAACACATTCTGAGAGTGGAAAACAGGAGACTAGAGGCCACACAGTTGCTATGTGGCTCCACAACTCTGTGAGGTTACATCATTACTCCCATTTTGAGGGTGTCGAGTTGCTTAGAGGTTTTGGGGTTTAAATGACTAGTGATGGAGATTAGCATTTGAAGACAAGTTGGACCCTAGACACACGGATTTTCTACCACAAAATATCTCTACACAGCCAATGATCAAGCTACACAGCCCACTTAGGAAACACAATACCCTTACTCAGTAAAGTCCCAAGCAGGATGGTCTAAGGCAGCCAGCTCATCCATCACATTTATGCAGAACACTGGGCTAAAACCAACCTCAGTTTGGCTGAGCTGATACCATTTCCTCTCAGCAAAACTGGTGGCATGTATATGAGAAGGGACTGGGAGGGATGGAAGGACAGTCACGCTTTGTTTAACCCTTATTTGTGCTTTATGTACATGGGTGTTTTGCCTGCAGATATACAGACCTCAGGCATCACAGGCCGACCAGGCAAGGGCGCTGCTGTGTCGCTCTGGTCTGAAGAGCCCTTGTGGCGGCCCCGCCTTCATCTATTGCAGTCAGCACACGTTCACCCAAACCCTCCCTCAGCCCTCTCAGGAGAGCCGTGCGGGTTCCGGAAGCCACTCCACTGGGGCAACTACATGCAAACCTCGGCCAAATCAGACACCCGAGAACTACTAGTTTCATACCAAAGGATTAAAAAAAAAAAAGACATTTATGTACCAATAAGGAAACACTCAAAGGCCTATCAAATGTATAAGAAAAAGAATAATTAGTATTTCTAAACAACAAAGAAAACTTTAGTAAAGCTATAGAGTATGGGGCTCACTATGTTCAGAAAAAAGGAATCTGTGATGGGAAAAAGAAAACAAACAAACAAACAAACAAACAAAAGCAACAAAAAAAACCCCAAGAAACCAACCACCCCTGACCTAGAAACAGAGCAGACTTACCCTTTGAACACCTGCTGCTGTCCCCGGCCCAGCCCAGTCACCGTGGTGTCTTTAAGTATAGTTTTCAGTCCCTTATCCACAGAGACCTGGGCAATGCCAGCTCCCATCAGCCCGGCACCAAGGACAGCCAGGCGCCTAGGAGGACAAGACCAAACGATTCTGGTGACCATCTCAGGCATTTTAGTAGCTGGGAAACATTAGCCATGCTGTCACCCAATAAACCAACCACACTGGCCACAAATGTAAGAGCTTTTGATAATTTCTATCTACAGTAAGTGTGTGATTTCTAAAGATAAACGTAAAACTCCCCGAGTGTAAAGAGCTGGTCTTCCTGTAAAGGAAGAACTCTGCTACCTTTCAACTGTGCCCTCAGCCCATGGAAACCAAGCCTAACCTTGCAGAGATCTGTTGATGACAAATCTGGTGACATCATTCTCCTCTTTCCCAAAATCTATGGCCCTAGTCAGAGTACTTCAGTCTCCTTACTAGTAGCTTTTAGGTTTTGTTTTCTGTGTTTTTTTTTTTTTTTTTTTTTTTTTTTTTTTTTTTTTTGGTTTTTTCGAGACAGGGTTTCTCTGCGTAGTTTTGCGCCTTTCCTGGAGCTCACTTGGTAGCCCAGGCTGGCCTCGAACTCACAGCGATCCGCCTGCCTCTGCCTCCCGAGTGCTGGGATTAAAGGCGTGCGCCACCACCGCCCGGCTTGTTTTCTGTGTTTTTTTTTGAGACAGAATCTTATGTAGCCTAGGCTGGTCTTGAACTCACCACTGCAGGATGACCTTGAACTTCGGATCTTCCTGTCTTCACCTTCCGAGTGCAGGGCTAACAGTCGCACATCACCATACCTGGTTTATGTGGTACTGGCAACTGAACTCGGGACTCCTGTGTGCCCCCCAAGTATTTACCAACCGAGCTGAGTTACAGCTCCAGCAGGGTACCTTTGGTCTGGGAAGTGAGACTTAAACCAGACCACTAGGCAATCATTATGAGATAAGAAAGCTCTATAGGGCCTGGAGAAATGGCTGCTTTTCCTGAGGATCTAGGTTCAATTCCCAGCACCCACATGGCAGCTCACAACTGTCTGTTAACTATAGTTCCACAGGATCCAACACCCTCACCCAGACAGGAATACAGACAAAACACTAATGAACATAAAATTTAAAAAAGGAAAAGAAAAGAAAGTGCTATAAAGCTGCTAGAGAACTCAGAGCATCTGAAAACAAGAATGTACTTGGAATAAAGGCTCTACTGTGCGCAGGGCAGAAGAGGTTGAGGACAAATCTAGTTCTGTGGATCCTCAGACACCTACACACTTGGTGCAAAGCAAATGCACAGGCTTTCTAGGCAGGGCAGCTTACTGAACAGTCTTCTGCGGTGTTCCAAATTTATTCTTCTTGCACAGGACCTGGCCGTTATAAAGTCCCATCAGGGCCTTCGATTCTTTGGTCAGTGCAAGCTCTCCAAATTTCTGAAAGGTAAAGGGAACAAGGGAAGGTGGGACTTGAGGGTCTGGTTATGGGGACTCCTTCGCTTCATTCTCCTCTTCGAGCAGGGGCAACACCCCAGGGTCTCAGTCCCACAGGCGTCTCAGTGAACCCGGGTGTGGCTCAGGCTCCACCACTGCTGGGGTTCTCTTTACTGTCTATCCCCTCGGGAACACTTCTCACTCTGAAGGAGGCTTGCTTGTGTATGTATGTATGTATGTATGTATGTATGTATGTATGTATTTATGGTTTTTCAAGACATTTTGGTGCCTTTCCTGGATCTCGCTTTGTAGACCAGGCTGGCCTTGAGATCCTCCTGCCTCCGCCTCCCAAGTGCTGGGATCAAAAAAAAAAAAAAAGGTTTGCGCCACTACAGGCAGCTTTGAAAGAGGTTTTGATGTAACTGAGCTCTCAGATTTCCTTTACAGCAGAGGAGTGGTAACCTTTGCCAATGGTCTAAACCAGTGGTTCTCAACCTTCCTAATACTGAGACCCTTTAATTCAGCTGCTCATGTGTGGTGACCCCAACCATAACATTATCTTCATTGCTATTTCACAACTGTACTTTTGTTACTGTTATGAACTGTAATGTAAATATCTGATACGCACAACCCACAGGCTGAGAACCACTGGTCTAGAGTCTCAGGCCTGAATGGATCTTCACCATCGCTGCAACAACCCACCTCGGTGGAAGCCGAGAAGAGGGCCAGATGTTAAGGCCGCACTGCCTCAAGGCAGAACTTGAGCACAGAGTGCTCCCCACTGCAGTTCTGGTCCCCCCCTATTCTGAAAAGTCCTAACACTAAGGACGAGTCCCGTCTCATATACAGCATGTTCAGTGGGCCCCAGCAGAAGGCGGGACCCGGGTCTGAGGCCGTGGGTTTGCACCCGGATCTTGACGTTCCCTCCTGTCAAGCTTTCTTCACTCTTCAAGTGGGGAACCGGACGCCTAGTTCATAGACTGTCCTGGGGATCAATGGGAATCCCAGTAAAATGACTAGGCTTCCGGTGCTAGCTTTCATCAACACTGCTGCACACACTGGTGACATTACAGGGTTACAAATAGCCCAGAAAGAAACTCTCTACTTATATTGTTTACACACCCTAACAACATAAAATAATGGTCCACAGAATAATGCTGTGCTTGATCCCGATAGAGCATGTTCTAGTCAGTAAACCAGTGGATTTCAAATTAGGAGTAAACATCCATCAGGTCATAAATTCAATAGGTGTGATAGGTGGTTTATATAAAAAGTGTTTCATATATATACACATAAAATAACAAGTACAGCTGCTCCTTGGAATTCATGCAAACACAGGTTTCAGGACCTTAGGAGAGCCATAATCCACAAACCCTCAAATTCTTTACATAAAATAATACAGTATGTACACATCCTCTGTATTTCAAGTTGACTCTAGATTACCTACAGCACCTAATGAGATAAATATTACATATACTTAGTTGCTAACAAGTCTCTACATGTTCAGTACAAATGTAATCTCAAAATTTTTTTTAAAGATTTACTTATTTATTATATATACAGTGTTCTGCCTGTATGTATGTCTGCACACCAGAAGAGGGCACCAGATCTCATGGTTGTGAGCCACCATGTGGTTGCTGGGAATTGAACCCGGGACCTCTGGAAGAGCAGTCAGTGCTCTTAACCTCTGAGCCATCTCTCCAGCCCCTAATTTCAAAATTTTTATATGTATATAATACACTGGTCACATCCACCCTATCACCCTCCCCGCCACTCTCTTGATCCCAGCAATCTTCTTTCCTGAAAGCTTTTGTTCAGTAGTTGGATGCAGGACACGGGAGGGGCAGCTACACGCAGTGAGGACAGCTACTGAATTCTGAAACATACGCTGCTTCTGTTTCTCTGTGCATACGTGTGTGTGTGTGTGTGTGTGTGTGTGTGTGTGTGTGTGTGTGTGTGTGTGTGTAGACCTGGTTATGATGTTTAAAATATGAGGAATGCATGAATAATGCATAATAAATGGTTTTCTAGAGCATTCCCTGAGCGCTTCAGAGTACTTTCTGTCCTGTCATCAAATTCTTCAATGATTGCATAAAACTTAAATTACCCATCACTCCCTTAAATCTGGCATACCACTAACTTTCGAGAAAAGTGAAAGGGGGAGACTAGTCGGCATGTGCTTCTTTGTTTCTGAGTGCAAAACACCTTTTCTTTTCTAGTTCATCAAAAGTGTTGCACCTTTAAGCCTCAGTAAGCAATATATATATATGTAAACCAGTGTTTGCTTTTCCCTTTTCCTCTGTGGTATTTGGGTTGGACCTAGGGCCTTGGGTAATCGCTCTACACTGACCTACATGCCCAGCCCTCACTGTATCCACTCTGTCACAACAAAATCAGCCCAGGTGCAGACTAAAGTCATTCAAGGGACTGGTTCTGAAGGGGCTCCTGCTCCTGCTCTCATTACTGAGCAGTTTCAAGCACCTGCAGACGACACCATCATTCTCAGGTCTACTCAACCACTGAGGCTAATCAGAAGCATGACCACTGGGGAAAAAAGGTACTTGTTTCATACACAGTACCTTGATATATATAGTACAGTTTATGCACACACATTTTCATACACAGTACCTTGTTACATATAGTACAGTTTATGCACATACATTTTCATACGCAGTACCTTGATACATATAGTACAGTTTATGCACATACATTTTCATATGCAGTACCTTGTTACGTATAGTACAGTTTATGCACATACATTTTCGGCTTTAAACAGAGCTTTTGGTCTTTAGTTTTCTACAGTTAAATTGGAGATCATTTTACCTGTGATTCAGCAAGATAACCAGCATCATTTCCTTGCTCGAGTCCAGCCTTCACAGCCTAAAAAACCACAAATGCAATTATTCAGTGTTGGAGCAGAATGGCTAAATGTAAAATAATGCTGAACAAAACAGCCAGTGTGATTAGACATCAGAGAGTAGGTCACGGATCCAGCTTTTCGAGGGCAGGAACTGAACACCTGGCTGCTCTAACCTGATCAACTTGTTTGTGTTCTGACAAATAAAGCTTGCCTGCAGATCGGAGGGCAGAGCTAGCCACCAGTTAACTGTAGAGGCCAGGCAGTGGTGGCACACACCTTCAATCCCAGCACTTGGGAGGAGGAAGCAGGAAGATCAGGAGTTCAAGGCCACCCTGGGCTACACGAGACTGAATCAGTCTAAAAGAGAAACAAGAGCCCAGTGGTGGTGGTGGTGGTGGTGGTGGTGGTGGTGGTGGTGGTGGGTCATGCCTTTAATTCCAGCACCTGGGAGGCTCATGCCTTTAATCTCAGGACTAGAGAGGCAGAGACAGGAATATAAGGCAGGTGGAGACAGTATTTGCCTCAGCCCATTCGGTCTCAGATTTCACAGAGGTAAGAACTCTCCGGTGGCTGTTGATCTTTCAGCTTTCACCTTCTATATCTGACTCCGGGTTTTTATTGTTAAGACTAATTAGGGCTGCACTTCATCAACTGTCTCTGAGGCTGCTGCTGAACTGAGGAAAGGGAACCTTAAACTATTCCTCCAGCTTCTTTCTAAGGACAGCGCTCTCTGCTGGTTTCTCTGTGCTTTCAGATGTGTGGTGATTTTGTTAGTCACCTTAACACGGAATTATATACAATTCAACTTTACATTTGGGGTAAGTGCTATCCCATGTACGGTGGTAAATAAAAAAGACAAAGAATGACCCTCTCGGGCTTGGCAGTGGTGGCACACCCCTTTAATCCCAGCACTCAGAGGTGGAGGCAGGTGGATCTCGGTGAGTTCGAGGCCAGCCTGGTCTATGAAGCAAGTTCCAGGACAGCCAGGACTATACAAAGAAAGCTGTGTCTTGAAAAACAAAAACAAAAACAAACAAACAACAACAACAAAAAAAAAAAAAAGAGAAATGACGCTAAACCCAACCACCATAATTTATATATATGACATGAAACCAAACAAACCCCAAATTCATTAAACTCCAATTTCCTGTCATTTGTAAACTCATCATCTCTCTGTTTGTTAAGCTTCTTATGCCATCCTATTTTTAGTTAATTGTATTTCAGAGTCTTACTCAAACTTATCAAGACAGCAGGCTGACTGGTAGCTCTATTTTGTCTCTCCTAATCCTCTTTGACCAAATGAAAATGACTAACAGTACCGGACAAGGTAAAATTGATTAATTCATTTTTGCTAACTCACTCTCTCTCTCTCTCTCTCTCTCTCTCTAGTTTATGTGTGTTGGTATGAAGGTGTCAGATCCCCTGGAAATGGAGTTAGAGACAGTTGTTAGCTGCCATGTGGGTGCTGGGAATTGAATCTGGGAAGAGCAGTCAGTGCTCTTAACTGCCGAGCCATCTCTCCAGCCCAGTTCTAAGTTTTAAAGTCTTTTAAATTAAATGAAAGTGCTGTAAATTTAAATTAAAAACCTTTTAATTATCTTCCTTCATCTTTTCATGCTGCCTTTATATCATCAGGTCTTCCTAGTAATTATAGAAATGGGAATGTCTTTTTAAAAAATTATCATTAGCAGGTGGATCTTTGTGAGTTCAAGGCCAGGCTGGTGTACAGAGCAAGTTTCAGGACAGCCAGTGCTACACAAAGAAACTCTGTCTGGAAAAACAAAACAAAATAAAATGAAAAACCAAACAAACGAAACAGAATTAAGTACTGGCTGGGTCCATGGTGTGCACGCCTTTAATCCTAGCACTTGGGAGACAGAGGCATAGCCTCTGAGTTTGAGGCCAGCCTGGGCTACAGAGCTACACAGTGAGACTCTTCCTCAAGAAACAAACACACAAGCAAAATGTATTGACATACATTGTTCAGGATCACAATAAAGAGTACTGCTTCATCAGAGAGGAGGAGATATGGAAAAGGTGGGCACAGCGGGCAGACTCACATCGATTATTTTCAGAGGTGCAGGGTAAAGGCCTTTGGTCTGCTTTTTCACCTTCTCTTCCACTGTTTTGTAAATCTGTTGTCTGACAAATGGAATAGTCATGGCGTATGACGTCAGCTCTGGAAGGTAAAATGTAGTCAGATTTCACTGGCACGAACCAGGGCTCCCTGCCCATTTGTTTTCAGACTCTATAGCAACAGAGTAATTCTAGCATGTGAAGGAACACAACCTAAACGTCAACCTCTGCACTGTGCTGTCTTAACGCGCTTTAGTGACTTGACCAGTGTTAAGGCCTGGTCTGGGGACTTGTAGCTTTATTACACAGTTATAATCTACTTTTGTATTAATGTTTCAAGTTTTCCAAAATAACAAGCCTTTAAACAATGGCCTTAGCAGCCAGTATAAGGCTGAGGATCTGACCATGAGGCAGAGTTGTGCTCTTTAAGGCTGACTTCATACAGCACATTCACCTCGCTCTCTTTTCTTTTTGAGGCAGGGTCTCTCACAGCCCAGCTCAGGCTCATTCTGAATCCAGGGAAAGCTCAGGCAAGAAGCAGCCCTGCTGTGCGCTGCTAACAAAGACACTTACTGTCCATCAGGCCTTTGCTTTGCTTTGCAGAGACCTTCCTATCAGCCAGGCCTTTGGCAAAAGTAATTGCAACTTCCTCTAGGTATTCAATTGTCCTTTCCTCTGAAGGCTTTACTCCTGGTCCTGTAGAAAGAAAATAAAACAACAGGGTGATCCCAAGGACTGGAATGCCAATCAAGCTTAGACTAGTCCTAGGCCGAGGAATCCTCCCACACAGCCTCCTTTCACACTAGGTGCTAAGTGGTATGGGAACTCTGGAAACAATTGTGAACAAAGGTGTAACAATGGACTCTAAGAGGAAGAAGGGTCCCAAACACTGTCAGTCTGTCTTTACTTCTGCAGGATGTAGTAGGTCTCGTGGGGCCTGTACTCCTAGTTAACTAGAAGAAAACAAACAAACAAGCAAGCTGTAAAATTATGTGTAAGGTGCTGCAGAACCCTGAGGACTAGAGTTCTAGAGGGAACAGCCTATCTTAGGGGATGGCTGGTCGCTTTGTTCTTTGGTGTATCATAGCTTTGGGGTGTGGACTGACTGACTACTGGACTTGGCTCGAGCCAAGGGATGCTACTAGGAGGAAAGTGAGACATCAGACCTTCAGGGCCACACAGAACAGATTAGAAGGGAGAGGCACACAAAGCCAGTTTCCCCGATGGAACAGCAGTGCAGAGGCTCAAAGGGCTGGCTCAGAAAGGTGGTGGGGTCTCATGACCCAATGGTTAGCACACAAAGGACCTGTATACAGGAGGGTCTTGCAACAATGTGGAGATGTGCTGGCTCGTTTTACGTCAACTCAGCACAAGTGAAAGTCTTCTGAGAAGAGGGAACCCCAAGAAAATGCCTCCATAAGATGGGGCTGTAGGCAGGCCTGTAGGGCATTTTCTTAATTAGTGATCGACGGGGGAGGGCCCAGCCCACTGTGGGTGGTGCTATCCCAGGGATGGTGGTCCTGGGATCTCTAAAAAAGGAAGCTGAGTAAGCCAGGAGGAGGAAGCTGAGTAAGCCAGGAGGAGCAAGTCAGTAAGCAGCACCCTTCCATGGCCTCTGCATCAGCTCCTGCCTCCAGGTTCCTGTCCTGTGTGAGTTCCTGTCCTCACTGCTTCTGATGGTGAACAGTGATATGGAACTGTGGGTGAAATAAACCCTTTCCTCCCAAGTTGTTTTTGGTCATAGTATTTCATCACAGTAATAGTGACCCTAACTAAGACATCAACTAACTTCCCATTTACGGCATCTGCCAGTTTGTGAGCCTGTTGGAAGCAGGAATTAGATTATGTGCATAGCTCAGTGGTGTATGATTAGCATGTATGAGACTTGGTTCCATCCTTAGCACACTAAAAAACAAACAGACAAAAAATGGCGAAGCCGAGAAATCCAAAAAACAGAATTTCTAGGGCTATGAAAACTGCCACCATCCAGGCTCTCGACTGAAAGTCTGCCCCAGTCACACTGGAGGAGTGGGTGGATGTAAAAGAGACTTAGGGGGAAGAACTGACTACAAGTGTCTAACTACTCCCTAGTAAGACGTCTGTTCTGTCTGAACTCAAGCAGAGGAGGAGGAATCATAACTAGACCTTTAACTTCAAAATGGCCCAAACTCGGGAATCCAGAAAAGTCAACAGCATTATCATCTGGCAGGGCGCTCAAGGTCACCAGACTCTGAGAGCAGAATGCTGCAGAGCATGTGACACACAACAGTCTACCCAGAGGGCTCCTTAACTCTGGCTAGCGCTGTTCAGCACATCCATGAAGAAAACTACCTAAGGCCAGGAAAGACCACTACAGAAGCGCGAAAGAACACCAGCACAGGATGGCTGGTGGCCTACACCTTTTAGTCAAAGAACTGTGACCAGCTGAGGTACTCCCTGAGGGGACAGATATGGCACTGGGAATATGGCATGGGAAATACTGCCTTCCTTATACCACACTTGGAGTGTGGCCATACACCACAGTCCCCAAGGGAGGTACAGACAAGGACACAGGTCTCCTGGGCTGGCTATGTTCTCACTCACATTTCCACTCCTGCCCAGATACTTTCCCTCCTAGGCCTCTACCTCAGGGCATTAGCTGTACTAAGAAAAACAGAATCTTAAAGACACTTTCCCCTACTTCCATGCCGTCTCTTCTGCCAGGCTCCACAAAGCCTGTTTGTTCAAGGCTTCCTCAGCAGGCAGGTGCCCCTCACAACCCCCAGTAACGCTGGCTTCATGGGAGCCAATGCCCTCTTCTGGCCTCCAAAGGCACCTGCACACACATGATGGGCATACCCACATACAGATACACACATGCACATAAATAAAACCTTAAAAAACAAAAACAAGGGGCTGGAGAAGTTGGCTCGGTTGTTAAGAACACTGTTCTTGCAGAGGGATGGGGTTTTTGTTTTTTAATTTGGTATTTTGGGGTCTTTTGTGGATTGTGCTACTGGCTTGGTATCTAACTTCTTTCTGATTTAAAAGCATAAGCATGGTAATAAACTGCATAATTCGATCAATATTAACCTTCTCATACAGTTGTTCCATTGTCAGACTGCCTAAAATTTCAAACAAAACCCATTCTTCCAATGTACATATAAAACCCATCTCTTTCGGAGAGCTAGGAGCACCGCAGGAGGAAGGGTGAGATTTTAGCTCTGAGCTCTGACCTCTCGGCTTTCTCTTTTACATTGGTTCTGTGTTTCTTATTTAATAAGACGGTTGGTTACATCTACAGACTCCCTATAGAGAACACGGCAATCTGGGTAGAAAAGCCTTAAAAATCCAAAAAAAGAGACTGAAGGGATGGCTGAGAGGTTAAAAGCCCTCGCTGTTCTTCCAGAGGTCCTGAGTTCAATTCCCAGCAACCACATGGTGGCTCACAACCATCTGTAATGAGATCTGGTGCCCTCTTCTGGCATGTAGGCAAGAATCCACAAAAAAGACTGCAGTTTCACGCAGAACAGGCTCAAACCTGAACAACCCCAAAGCTCATCATCTAAGCTCTGGCTTAGAACTTTCTACACTATGTGGCCCCTGGTGGCTCAAACTCATGGTTCATTTGTCACAATCTTCTAAATGCCGGATTACAGGCATGAGCCACCACACTGAGCCTTAAGTAATAGCTTAACGCTGACATTTAAGAAACACCAGGCAGTGATGAATGGACATTTCCGAGGTTTCTACTGCCAGCAGAAATTGTATGAAAGTAGCACATAAGTAGACACCATATGTTAACATTGTGAGGTCGGCTATTTCCCGTGTTTATTGTATTATTTATTAAAACACAGGGCAGGGATGTAGCTCAGTGGTAGAGTATTGGCCCAGAGTGCAGAAGACCCTGGTTTGATCCCACACACTCCAAATGAAAACAACAAATAAAACAAAGAACTGCCCACCAGGGACTGAAGGAGGCTTACACATGGATAGTAACACAGATAATTTATAACTAACACTAATGACTGAACTGATCCTATATTCTTGGTATCCAAGTAATAGAAACCAGGGTGGGGTTGAAAATGATTTAGTAAAGCTCTTAGGAAATGTCACTCCTCAAGTGCTGTTACTTCCTTCTTAAGAGTTTTGAGTTTCATCCTGACTAATATTCAAGAGATCAAATCCTTCAGGAAACAGGCAACTCTGTAAGACCCAATCCGAGTCATGCTAACACTTACCCAGGGGTTCCACCAGCTGGTCCACCAATCCCATCTTCTTTGCTCTGTCTGCGCGAATGTTTCTACCCGTCAGCATCATGTCAAATGCAGCAGGCACACCCACCTAACATGTGAGCGAGAGCCAGGGTGCGGGGGAAACAAGGGTGGGAGTCAGTTCACAAGTCACCAGTCAGCACACTACAGAAGTGGGGCTTGCTATTGAGGCTGACGCCCCGAGTTTAGTTCCTGGGCTCTCATGGCAGGAGAGAACTGACTCCTGAGATGCCCTCTGACCTCCACGTGTGCACCACGGCACACGGGTGCAGGAACACCCAATATAAACAAACAAACAGTCATTTTTTCTAAAAAAGGAGAAAAGTCAGACCGGCTTTATGTTCTCTTATCAGTAAATTAAATTTTATACACTAATACACTTTTAAGTTTTGAGATTAGATGTCCTGCTGAAGAAAAAAATGTCTTTATGGTATCTTTTAAATTCAGCAGCATAAGGAATTGATGAGGTAGCGAATTCATTTTATGTGAACTGAACTGCAGACCTCAATCTGTTCTCCATTATTGACACAGTGTTTAAACCTCTGGAGTCGAGGAGGTAGCTCAGTGGTTAGAGTGCCTGCTTGGCATGCATAAGACCATGGGTTCAATTCTTAGCATCCCTACCTCTGAAAAATTCCAATATTGGAACTAGAGTGCAGACTCTGAGATGGGAAACCTGATATTTTTACAAAGACTTCAGAAAGAAGTTTGAATTTAACAATGCAGCTCAACTGATACTATTCTAGAAAACTGACTTCTAGCCAGGGGCATGGTTTGTTCTATAATCTCTGATCTTGGAAGTCTGAGGCAGGAGAATGGTAGACTCAAGGCCTGTCTGAGCTGCAGAGAAGACTTCGACTCAGAACAAAACAACAAAACACCCAAAACAAAACCAGCTAGGTGTGGAGGCATATGCCTTTAATCCCAGCACTCAGGAAGCAGAGGCAAGGAGGATCTCTGTGAGATCTAGGCCAGCCTGGTCTATGTAGTGAGTTCCAGGACAGTCAGGACTACATAGAGAGACTCTGGCTTAAAAACAAACAAACAAACAAAAAACCAAAACATAACCAATCACAACAAAAATGAAAGAATTCCTAGCAACATAAGTAAATGAAATTCAACAAAATTTTTTGTGTCAAGACATCTTTTGTGTATGTGTGTGTGTGTGTGTGTGTGTGTGTGTGTAGACATCTTATAGACAATTCTTATAAAGAAATGTGTATGACTAATTACTAGCTTGGTATGTGTTATTCCAGTACTTGGGAGAGTGAGGCAGGGGGATGGACAAGAGTTTGAGGCCAGTCTAGGCTACAACCAAATCTTCTTTCCCCACCCGCACTGTATGAACTCTCGGGGGGCACACTTGCTCTTTCACTGAGGAATCTACAGTGCTAGACCCTAAGAGGCTCTGCCCTCTGGTTTGACAGGAAATTTCTCTGCAGCCTCCAGAGACGACTCTCCTCCTCCTTTCCTTAGAAACTGAGAAGCTTGCTGCATCTTTTTTTGGTCCTTTAAATACAGCAAGGACATGGTCTAAATCATTGAAAGATGGGAAAGCTCTGTCTCATACTCATCATAAACTATGACCCATGGCTTTGAAAAACTATTAAAGAGATGCCGTGAGAAGAGGAACAAATTAATGTTCTGGAAAAGCAAGGCTTATCATCTTTACCCTCTTATCAACAATTCTGTAGAACTGAAAAAAATAAGCATCAGGAATAAAAAAAAAAATCTCAACGATCTTCTATATTCCTAACTTACTTAGGTCCTGAATTCTACAGTGAGTGTCTATATTATGTACTTTGTAGATGGAGTAGATCTAAAGGGGTATTTACGTACAGCTCAAGTTTACGGTGTTGGAAGATCTGAAACTCACCATTTTGGGCAGTCTTTGGGTACCTCCGGCTCCTGGTAAGATCCCCAGCAACACTTCAGGGACACCCAACACTGTTTTCCTGTCTTTTGTGGCTATTCTGTATTGGCATGCTATGGCGAGCTTCAGAGAAATCAAAGAAAAATTCCAACATCAGAAAATGTAACTGTGCCATTTTAGCCTCTAGGCTGGCAGGCCTAAGGATTATTTATAAAGCAGGAATAGCTGGGCAGTGGTAGTATACGTCTTTAATCCCAGCACTCAGGAGGCAAAGCCAGGCAGATCTCTGTGAGTTCGAGGCCAGCCTGATCTACAGAGCGAGATCCAGGACTCCAGGACGGGCACGAAAACTACACAGAAAAACCTTGTCTCGAAAAACAAAACAAAACAACAAAACTATAAAGCAGGAATATACCACAAAGTAAATCATGATTTGCTAGGCTGAAATCTGGCATGTTACTATTTACCTTTTCTACCCATTTTCATTACTAACCCTTTTCCCAGCTGCTGTTCGTTTTTTTTTTTTTTTTTTTTTTAAGATTTATTTATTAATTATGTATACAGTGCTCTGTCTACATATACCCCTGCCCACCAGAAGAGGGCACCAGATCTCATTATAAATGGTTGTGAGTTACTGTAAAGTTGCCAGGAACTGAACTCAGGACCTCTGGAAGAGCAGTCAGTGCTCTTAAACTCTGAGCCACCTCTCCAGGCCCAGATTGCTGTTCTTAAAAATATTCTGAAGGTTAACCTTGTTCTACATAGTGAGATCTTGTCTCAAAAAAACAAAAAGAAATCTCTTCTCTTCAATCTTATCATCTTTACTATTTATCTATTCACAAGAAACTCTCTCTCATGAGACTTAACATGTATTAGGCTTTGAAGGTCTCAATCAGATGTAAGAACATGAACATAGGTCACACTTCTGAATCTTTGTCTTGTGAACCTGAACCAGGTATTCAGACGTGAGAAAGACTTCATGGTGCAGTTCAAATCTCAGCGGTAAATGGAAACAGTACTCCTTGGCTCACTGTTCTGTGTCACTTGATGCTTGTCATGAATTAAGAATTGAACCCACTCAGACGTGTCACAGCTAAAATAAAGCCGATTCTACTCAGAGGACTTTTCTGCAGGACAAGCGGTGGCCTAAAGGCTCACGGTGGCACATGGCAGCAGTAGGGGACAGTCTGCACAGCTCTGGAATACAGCCATACCTCAAGTCCTCCTCCCAAGCAGGACCCACTGATGGCGGCTACAACGGGCTTTGGGGACTTCTCAAGTTTCTCGAACATTCTCTGTCCTTCCTGTGATATCCGCGTTGCTTCCTGGGGGGTTGTGCAAGAGGCTAGCATGCTGTAGTAGGACAAAAAGAACAACACAAGAAGAGAGATGAAACTGTATCCCACTCTGTATAAGACTTCACCCACTATATACTTATCTCAGCATACATCAATATTTGGCAGCGAGTCTTCAAACATAAAATGGAACATGTTACACAATTTCTTTGGCTTCCGTAACAAACCATTGACCACAAAGCTCTAACAAGAACATCACCTGGTAAATATTTTCACTATCAGACAGTTCTAAGGTTATGTTCTGGATCCAGCTATCCTCTTTAAGCTGTTCTGTGGTCTTTACCTATCTGTTTCCCCACTGACTCACAGCTGGTTTCAAAGGCTTCATTATCGCTCCCTACACAGGACTGGCTATTCTTCTACACACACCCTTATGATCAGAGAGTAAGATTTCTTTAGTATACATGCCTAGACGAGAGTATGTGGCTGGAACACACGTGCTGCTCCCTGTCCTGCGTGCGTGCGTGCGTGCGTGCGTGTGTGTTTGCTCACCTGTGCAGGCACACGTGGAGGTCAACGACCGTCAGGTGGCTTCTGCACTTCTTATTTTTGAGACAGGGTGACCCATCAAACTCACCGTGCCCTGCTTTGGTGTGGATGCTGGGGTTCAAACTCAGGCCCTTGGTCTAGCAGCAGGCATCCCACCGGAGCCATCTCCCCAGCCCTTGGAGTTCTGATTTGACTAAATACTGACAAACTGTACTCCAAAGTGGCTATTCCAGTTGGGATTTCTACCAAATTTTTACATGTTTGCTGGTCTGATGGATGAAAACTGGCCACTCGTTCTTGGCTAACGTAAGGAAAGGCTGTATTTAGTCATTTACGATTTAAGCAGCAAGTCCCTCTATTTTCATCAACTTTATTACACTCTGGAAAATAACTTCAAACACAAATTTTGGGAGAATTCAGTTCTATCTTCTTTTAAAGAAGGTTTATTTAGCCGGGTGGTGGTGGCACAGGCTTGTAATCCCAGCACTGGGGACAGAGAGGCAGGCGGATCTCTGTGAGTTCGAGGCCATTCTGGTCTACAAAGCGAGTTCCAGGACAGCCATGGTGGGTACACAGAGAAACCCTGTATTGAGAAACTTAAAAAGAAAAAAAAAAGTTTATTTAAAAATACGGAATTAATCAAGATAAACTTACTTGATATCGGCACCTGCAACGAAGCAGCCGGGCTTTGATGAGATAAGAACAGCACTTTTGATTTGGTCATTGGCCCAGATTTCATTCATAACTTCTACAAACTCTGACTGAACTTCTTTATTCAATGTGTTTACCTACAAGAGAAACAGCCACACCTAAGGGTTTAAGTACAAGTATCACGTACACGCTATCACTGCCAAGTGTGTCTATGCAGCAGACGTACATGTGAGAAGAAAAGGAAGGAAACAAAACCCAGACACAGGCAGACCGAAACTCTGAAACCCAACCGCTTTCTGTCAGCTGGCTTTAGCTAACTCTTAGTACCCTTCCCTTTAAAAATCGGTCTCAAGAGCCGGAAAGACACTCAGTGGGTGAACGTGTTTGCCATGTGAGCCCAACAGCTCAGTTTGATCCTTATTACCCAAGGAAAGGCGGGAGGAGACTCAACTTCACGGTCACCCCCAAATACTTCATGTGTGCACAATACAGAAACAGTGGGGGTGGCCTCGGAAGGGGACTCCGATGGCCAGGCATGGTGGTGCTTCCTTCTAAATCCTAGAACTCAAGAGGCAGAGCAAGGCAGGCTGCTGCGAGTCTGAGGCTGGCCTAGAGTACACAGAAAGTTCCAGGCTATCCAGGATACACACACACACACACACACACACACACACACACACACACACATATACACACACACACACACACACACAAAACAAACAAACAAAAATAAAAAAGCGAATATGCAGTCATATTCCTAAGAGTTCGGAACATATGCAGGGTACAATTAAGTCTACAAATATTTATTGGCGGGGGAGGGGGAATCTATAACATTAAAAAAAAGAATCAAAATTAGACAGTATGGTCTTCACTTTGTAGATATATTCAACTTCAGAAAATCGGGAAAAAAATTCTTAGACTTGAATCATTGGTTAGTCAGTATAGACTAATGCCAGTGAAGGAACCAGCTCCTATATCATTAATTTGTGATAGCTGCCAATGCTTCATCTAGGTCCTTCTACTTCTTACAGGGCTTAATAGAGCCCAGGCTAGCCTTGAACTCTGTAGCCAAGGATGACCTAGATAATTTCCTATTTGTGCCTCTCAGGTGCTATGGGCCACCATGATTGGCTTAATTTCTTCTATTTCATACAGGCTTCTAGCTGCAAGGTTTTTTTTTTACTGTATGACACCTTTATACCAATTTGAGATGGGGAAAAGAATGAACTCCTGCAACAAAGCATTGTTGGCAAAGGACAGGTTCTGCTGCTGATGTACCGTCGAATTTGCCAAGATCCAGGTTCTATTCTCACATAACCTGATTTCTAGCACGCAGACTCTATGAGTCATTCAGATCCTGCAGGAAGCTTGAGAGCCAAGTGTCCACGTTATCCCAGCCAACTTACTATGAGTAACGACTATGTCAGGCAGGCACTGAAGGTAGATTTAATCACTGTATGTTTAAAACAGGCAGGTTAAGTCTTATCAACAAGCTTATTCTATCATTCTCATTCCATACAATAACAGGCTAGTTTTATTAATCTTTGATATTAGTCTGATGCCTAGAGTCAATAAGAAGGAGTGCTTTTGGTTTCCCTGTCTGCTTTTGAAATAAGGTCTCACTCTGTAGCCCTGGCTGGTCTGGAAATCACAGAGATCCACCTGCCTCTGCTTCTCCAGTGTTGGTGTTAATTCCACCAAGAAGGAATTATTCTTTTCTTCTTTTTAATTGAGACAGGGTCTCACTGTGTAGTCCTACCTGACCTGAAACTCACTATGCAGATAAGGCTGGCCTAGAACCCACAGAGATCTGCCTGCAATTGTCTCCAAGTGCTGGGATTAAGGGTGTGCAGCACCACCCCTTACCTCAGGAAGGAATTCTCATACATAACATCTGCCTATAACTAACAAAGCTTTAAAGCCATGTGACAGGTCTACTTCCAGACAGGTAAATTTCATTTATATTTAGGATAGGATTCATAAATGTAGTTGGTAGAAATTAACTAAAAAAGCTTAGGTACCTTTGAATTGGGTGAGTTAATCCGAATAACTGCCACATCTCCTTTGACTCCATAATTAATATGGCTTCTGGCTAAAAAAGAGAAGACAAATGTGTTTCTAAACATGCTTATTGTAAAAGAGGTCAGCAACGTGATGTTAAGATCAAATATATACATACAAGTACCATTACAGGGACTGAGCAGGTTGTATTTAGGACACACACACACACACAGACACAGACACACACAGACACACACACAGACACACACACACACAGACACACAGACACACACACACACACACACACACACACACACACACACACACACATCCCCCATTCACTTTCCTCCCTCCAACCTCTCCCACACACTCCCCTCGTTCTCTCAAATTCACTGCCTTGGCTTCTTTTTCTTTGTTGTTATAAATATGCACGTGTATATCTAGGGATACACACACACAAACACACACAAACACACACACACACTTAGGAATATATACACATACATACATATTGGGATATGTATGTGCATATATGTATGTACACACATATACGCACACACATATTTAGGGGCACACACATATATGCATATTTAGTGATGTATATGTATGTATGTGCATACATGTACATATGTACATACATACATGCACATATACAATAATAAAGACAAAGAGGCTGTGAATCTGAGGGAGAGCAAGAGGGGTGCGTGGAGAAGTCAGAGGAGGGAAGTGAATGGGAGATATGATGTCACTATATTGTAATTTAAAAAAATCAAAGTATAAAAAGCAATGTTAAGCATGTAAACAAGAAAGATAACTTACTCAGCAAAGCAGAAGATACTGTGAAGCTGCGGCAGATACAGCCTGCAAGGAAAGAGTGTTTCAAAATTATTTTGTGAAATACAATTTCTATAATAACTGTCAGATCAGCAGAACTAGAGTTTACAACAATAAAACCCAAACCAGAGCAATGTATTCTGGGCCATTATTGTGGCTACTCCATTACCTTTCTCATTTTAATTATCAGGGCAAATGATGATCCAGATAGTAAGTAAGGTAGGGGGAGGATCCCCTCCCCCAGAAAAACAAAGGAGCACACATCACATCTCTAGAATGTGTGAATGTGTTACAGGCAAAGGGCTAAGACTGCAATGGAATTAAGATCGACCTTAATATAGGGTCATATCATGGATTATCTAAATGGGCTTAGGTAACCACAAAGAAAGTCAGAGACATGTGACCACGACCTGGCTCCAGGTTGCTAAAGGAAGAAGATGAGCTCAAGCAGAGAGTACAAGTTCTCTCTAGAAACCAGAAAAGTAAGGTAACAGCTTTTCCTCATGGCCTTCAGAAGAACAGAGGGTTCTGTCAACACCTACCTGAGCCTAGTGACATCCATTTCGGTGGTTCCCTTGTCAGTTCCCCACTCGGGGTCAAACCCAGGCCTATCCACCAAACACTCCACCACAGAGTATGTGTCCTTGGCCCAAGACCCACTAAGGACCTCTGACCACTGTAACTGTACACTGGGGAAGGCAGAGGCAGGTGGATCTCTGTGATTTCCAGGCCAGCTAGTAAAAGCATGCTTTAAAAAGAGTGCTTCTTGTTTTCCTAAAGAACCTGAGTTTGGTTCCCAGCACCCATGCTGGCTAAAAGGCTCCAACTCCAGAGGATCTGATGCTCTGTTTTGGTCACCATGGGCACTCACACACATGTGGCATACACTCACCTGCACACTAACACATAAATAAAAATAAACCTTAAGCAAACAAAGAAACAAAAAAGGCCACTCGGAGTATCAGATATTTACATTATGATTCATAACAGTAGCAAAGTTACAGTTATGAAGTAGCAATGAAAATAATTTTATGGTTGGGGGTCCCCACAACATGAGGAACTGTACTAAAGGGTCACAGCATTAGGAAGGTTGAGAATCATCACCCGAAAGTAGTATCAACAATTAGTTACTTCTTTCTTAATATTAGTTCTGATCTTCAACAAAATGTACATGGCTCTAAGCTTCCCCACAGAACCTCACCTTCAGATTTCAACTGTATAATCCTCCTCTTCCCTGCCTGCATTTTGGTCTTTATTATTTAGTGTTCTCATTGCTGCATTTGCAAACCAAGTTATAACAAATCTCTTCTAATATAATTTCAGTCATTACTCAACAAAAGTTTTTACAGTAACCTGACACGTCACACAGCTTTCTAGGACACTGGGGTAACAAGTAAAAGTAAAAGGTCTTAGGGCTGGAGAGATGGCTCAGCCGTTAAGAGCACTCGCTGCTCTTCCAGAGGTCCTGAGTTCAATTCCCAGCAACCACATGGTGGCTCACAACCATCTGTAATGAGATCTGGTGCCCACATGTGGCCTGCAGGGATCCATGCAGGCAGAACACTGTAAATGTAATAAATAAATTAAAAAAAAAAAAAAAAAAAAGTAAAAAGTCTTTCTTGGTGGAACTTGCCTTCCAGGGCAGCAGAGGATATGGTATTGAGTCAGCTTCAGGGGACATAAATGAAGAGTTGAAAATAGCTCAGTGGTAGAGCGTTTGCCTAACATGCACAAGGACCTAGGTTCAAGACCTGGTTCCGAAAAACAAACTGTAAAGCAGAAATTCTATGGTAAAGGAGCATGGCATGGGTAATCTAACCAGGAATGAAGTGCATTGGCATAAGAATGGACTAACAGCTGCTGGGCGGTGGTGGCGCACGCCTTTAATCCCAGCACTCGGGAGGCAGAGGCAGGCGGATCTCTGTGAGTTCGAGGCCAGCCTGGGCTACCAAGTGAGTTCCAGGAAAGGCACAAAGCTACACAGAGAAACCCTGTCTCGAAAAACCAAAAAAAAAAAAAAAAAAAAAAAAAAAAAAAAAAAAAAAAAAGAATGGACTAACAGAGTACAGGCAGGGAGGGAAGAGGTAGGAAAGCAAGGACAGGAGTGACAGGATACAAACGCTGAAGCAAACCCAAAACCAACAAAGAAAACTAACCAGCCAGAACAAACCAACCTCCAAACCAAAACAACACCCTACAAAAGCACCAGGGCTGCAACTTCATTCTGAGGTGAGATACTGCTAGGCAGCCAGCCTGGCTACAACTTGTGGTCCTTCTGCCTCCGTGGGATGCTGGGACCACAGGTACCTGCCATCGCTCAGGGCAGCAGAGTCACTATCTTAAAAACCAAATATTTGTGCTTTAAAGGTTGATGTTGCAAGCTGGGTGTGGTAGCACACGCACACCTCAGGGAGGCAGAGGTAGGCAGATCACTAAGAGTTCCAGACCAGCCAGATCTATTGAGTGAGATCTTGTCTCTAAAAAAATTTTTTAAATTAAACACACACACACACACACACACACACACACACACACACACACACACACACACTATTATAAAAAGAGTTGGTGCTCATTAGCCTATTGGTTAAGCCATTTTCATTCTTGTGGACTAACCTCTCTTTGGGGTAAACACACTCCCACACACTTACACAAAACCTCTTCTAAATCAACAGAGACAAAAAGCAAAGAGAAAGACCAGTAAATGCACAGACATGTAGAAAAAAATCCTAACCACAGTCAACTGAGTGGAGCTGAAGTCCACAGTAACTTTGCTTCTGGAAACCAGCCTCATCCCACGCCCAACAGCAAAGCCTACGCTACAGCCGCCGGTGAACTTTAGCCTACATTCTCCGTGCCAGCAAAAGTGAAACCTTTGTCCTACTTTTCAATCACCTTCATATGTAACTCCAGAAAATAGCTACAAGATCACATAAAACTATAATCAGTGGAAAGAGTTGGATTATGTTGACATAATTATGAAAATGTTACTTTAGTTCATAGCAATTTACAGCTTTTTCAAAATCCAACCCTGGGACAAGGGATGGGATGGATTAAAGAAGCGAGAGTCAGATTCAAAACACCACAATATCTACTAACCGACTTTCATTCCCTGTCAAATTCTTCTACCACTTACATACTTGGGAATTAGAAAAGGAGGAATTAAACGGATATGAAGGTCAATTTGTGAGTTTTTATTTGATTAGAATGTCCTAAAACTTCAATAATTGGAAGGTTTACTCTTTTCCCAGGAAATGCCATAGTTCACTGGGCATTTGGCAATGCCTGCACACACCCTCAGGGTCAAGGACAGACCTGTGGAGTCTAGACTCTAAATGGCAAATCCGGTGTGCCATTTAAAACTGACTTTTTACATATTTTTTCAAAGTGTATAAGCTGCTATTAAAATAAACTGTAGTTATAACTGACTACACTTTCATCATGAAAACATAATACAATTTATATATTAACATGTATGTTTCTATGTAGAAAGATAGAAAAATCTGGCTGTTAGCTTTTCATCACCTATGTAAAATGGATAAATTACTTTAAAAGTTCTCATCTATATACAATCATTACTTCCAAGGGCTGAAAAATCAATAACATTTATTGAGAACTTATTCTCATAAGCTGTTTTATACCTAATGTAACTTCTTTAGACTTAACATGTAATTGACTCCATTTTACCAATGAGAAAAAGATGTTGAAATTAATTCCCAAGGTCACCAGAAGGTAAGAGACAGATTCAACCCAGAAGTCAGAGTCCATATTTAATGCCTTTAATTGCTCCATCCTTCTCCTGCCAAAGAAAACATCTCTCATTCATTTTACAGACGAGAAAGCCCATTTAGATTAAAGCACTTGGCCAAAGTCACACAGCTAGCTACTGACTAGAAAACATGTGACCTGATCATCACTCCAGGGTTAGACCAGCTGCCAATCCATAAAAATACCTTACAACGAATGGAGGAGCACATATGATTTTTCTCCCTAAAACTGTTAAAAACGTGTTAAGGGAAAAATATAAACGGCAAGGAAATGCAACCACGTGCAAACAGAAGACATAAAGATAACAATGCTTTTTTCTTAATCCCTTCCCAACTGTAACGTCATTTCTTTCTTTTCTTTTCTTTTCTTTCTTTCTTTCTTTCTTTTTTTTTTTTTTAAAGACAGGGTCTCACTATGTAGCTCTGACTGGCCTGGAACTCACCATGTAGACCAGAGAGGCCACACACTCCAAGATCCACCTAAGATTAAAAGTGAGAACCACTATGTCCGGGCCCATTTCACTTTTTTTTTTTATTTTTTTTTTATTTTTATTTTTATTTTTATTTTTTTTTTGTAGTGTGGTGGTAGTTTTAGCTGTTAAAAAAAATTAGAAAAAAAATTAAATGAATTCACTTAATTAAATGTCTTGAGAGGTAAGAAAAAGTAAATTACACTTGTACACTTTTGTGAGGGAATTTAAAGTGAATTCATATTACAAATGAAAGTCTCAAGGTAGCTGGTATCAAGGATGATACGTAATAAGTTCAAGTTCCATTAGCCCTTACAGGTTTGGGATGGCTGGGGAAAGACCGTTTTCTACCTCCACCCCTTTAACCCTTTCACTACCAGTCTGACGAAGAGGAATGCAAGTTCATAGAGCCTGACTCTGCATCGGCTGAAACAAGATTAGAAATAATTCTTAAAATAATCTAACATTTCGTTCCTAAAAAAAAAATCAGGTTTTTCTAGTATTTTAAAAATATTTCTTCCCCTAAACTGGAGAACCTCCGGTCTCAATCTTCTATACGTTCACACCAGGATTATTGAAAAGTGCCAAGCTCTCTGCAAAAATGGTTTTGACCGTAGAGATCAGGTAGTGGCAGCGATCTGTAAGGCTAGTCAATGCCACCGAGAAGCTTGACAGGTATCTCTTAAGGCGACCAAGGTGCGGCGGAGCCTCAGAGAGGCGACAGAATGGGTCTCAGCCCTCCCGATCTAGCGGGGCCAAGACAATCGTTAAGGAAGAGCAAGAGGGGCGTGAGCGCAGGGCTACCGCAGAGAGACCCGCGCCAAGTGCCAGAGTGAGTGGAAAGGACTCGGGAAAGTTAGGGAGAGCCCGACACCGCCGGAGTCGGGCGAGAGCGAGTGACAATCCCTTCGTAAGGACACAGGAAATGGGGTCCCGGGACAGTAACCACCGTTTCCAGGGGTCCCGGGAGAGGGGTGGGGAGGAGACAGCGAGGGGCAAACGCTGCCACCCGCCGCCCCAGTTCCTGCGGGCACTCCGAGACTCTCCCGAGCCCTCAGCCAGGCTCACCTCTGGAGCGGAGGATCCTGGAGGCCGAGAAGCGACTGAGGCTGCCAATTGCCCGGGACGCCACCATCTTGAGCAGGAGAGGACGAAAGTAGAGCTCGCTTCTAGCGGGGGGCAACGGAGACGAGGACTTTTCTTTTCTCAGCCTGTCCGGCAGGGCGCCCGATGTACTGCCTTACTAAAACGTAGACTCTTGAGTGTCGCCGGTCCTTCCCCCTCCCCTCTTGCTCCCAACTAACCGGGCCGAAAGGATGATTTCCTCTGAGGGAAGACCGAGGACCTCCGAGGACGGGGCGGGGTGTCTGACTTTCTAGTCAGGCGCTCAGCGGGCAGCCCGCAAGGCCGCGGGGCTCGCGGGCGGGCGGCGGGGGGGTCCTTGCGGAACGGGAACCGCCTCTCGGCCAGGGCGGGCGCTTGTCATTCTGGACTTGACCTTGCTGGGAGCGGCGGCTTGCGCGGTCTCTGAGGTGCGGCGGGGGCGGCGCGCGATTCGGCCTGCGTCTGACTTTCTCCGCAGACAGGTCCCCCCCACTTCCCGCCCGACTCCTGTCGCCGGTACCCGCGGTCCTTCCCTTCCCTTCTCCTGTCCCGGGAGCCGGGCAGGCTGCGGAGTCCAGGCCTCCTCCGGTGCCAACCGACTCCAGACGGGCGGCGGGTCGCCTTCTGGCGTCGCTCGCCGCGGCGGTGTCGCCTTGTCTCCGCTTATCGCAGCAGGTTTACGAACTGTTTGCGTGTGTGTGTGTGTGTGTGTGTGTGTGTGTGTGTGTGTGTGTGTGTGTGTGTGTGTGTG